GTTGGCACAGCCTAAACCCAATTGCATTGCATAGCTAGCCACCATGCTTCTCGATCGGTTAGTAGTGACACATAAAACTACTTCTGTGCGAGCTACAAGGAAACATTGGCCTTAGGTTGATCCACACACCATTAAAACTTTCTGCCAAAATCATTACTTGGACAACAAGATAAAAACTCCATAAAATTTTCAAAACCTTTTAAACCATAACTTTTCTGATATTCTTTCCAATGCTCAAAATCATGCTTAACCAATGCAACTGACTATGCAACACATCATCACCTTTGGTCCCAATCCTGGCAAGTTTAGTGCAAGTACAGGAATGGAGTACTCCCTCCCCTTTTGAGGGTGATCAGTCCTCAAGAGTGAAAGTAACATACCCATAATGCAGAAAACAAACCAGGCTCTGATACCAAGCTGTAACACCCTACCCTATACGTTTTGCCTAATCATATTGTTCATACAATTGCAGCGGAATTAATCTCGGGTGTTACACTAATTATCAAAATTTATCCAAATAAAATTTCGACATGAATTACTCGCGTAATGGGCTAACAGTTCTTCCATCTGATCCTGCAAAATAATTCATCTAAATCCATGCATTCATAGACAAACATATACACTCACTGCCATATGCATTGGCTTTTCATAGCCATAGTCACAGTTTCATGTTACACAACTGCATACTATACTGATACATGTTATAATCATCACAACTTACATAATTACACAATATACACATATCATCAACTTTCCACACCTGTGGATATCTCACACTACATCAGAAGCTAGTATGCACATGAAAAACGTTCTCAAAACATTTTTACAAAAAGGTGTGAATCACTGGCCAAAATCCCAAGTAGTCGTCCAAGCACAGAATAGTTGAAGACAATACCTCATCCTGGCTTCAACTCTAGCTCCTCTCCCACCTAACACTTATCTACTGCTGTTGCTGATAATCTGCTTACACATGGCATAAGCAGAAAAAAAGGATAAAGAGGGTCAGCTCATAGCTGAGTGAGATAATCATAGCATCGTGAGTTCATAACAGAGCATACCCCTACCATACATCTAGCAAACAAGCCAAAGCACTAGGATCGGACCTCAGTCATCCTCATATCCCAATAGGCAAAAGACTCAACCACCTTGACTTATGCATATGCATCTTATCATGTTTTACTTATAGGCGCCTGGCTACTCCCATGCGAATAACTCTCCCGGGAAACATACCCCACATCCCGTCGGATGTAGTCATACATACCCCAACATCCCGTCGGATGTGGTCATACATACCCCACACCACTATGGGTGTAGTCATACCCCGACACCGCTCTGGGTGTGGTCATATCTCGTAAGAATTCTTCAGTCACCACCACATGAGAGGTGTGACTATCATACATATCATAATAGAGTAATAGCATAGGGAGCCCTAATCACTATGTAGTTGACCGTGAGACCACAACACTCATATTTGGTATCCTTATACATGATTCATATCTCATCTTGCTTAATCATAATTCGTTACTTCAACATGTACTTGACCTGGCCATAATTGGCTCAACATAGGTAAATCAGGAGTCGTATAATTGCACTTCCTCGGGATAAACCCTCGTGCAAGTCATCCTCCTTAAACATCATAATATCACCCTGGGAAGTTTATTTCCCCCACCTGTGAATCCAAATACAATCACAATATCACATCATGTCAAAACACATGATCAAACAACCATTAAGTCATATCAACAATTAAGCCACAAATGGCAACATGTATGCAATCATCAGCATAAACAAGGTCCATATCGATTAGGGCAAGTCAATAATATCATACAACAGTCCAGGGTTCAACATATAGCACAAAAGTTCATACACCCCTAATCATGTCATTCTAGTTCACCTAGATCAATTCTAAGCATAAGTATAATTATCGTGATACGACAAACCCGGTATGCCGTGCTAATCCCTCACCAGTTCTGGTCGTTCAAACACCGGTTCTAGCCTCCCGTACTAAAACGTCAATTTCACAAACGAACCCCGAATTAAAATCCGAGACCGTCCTAATATCCCCTGCAGTATCCCCGTCAATATTAGTTCTTGGCTCCGGGTCAAATTCTTGATAAAAACACATCAAACCCTGGCCGGAGCTAAATTCAGCGATTAGGACCCCGACCTAAATAATTGCCAAAATTCAGGGATTAGAACCAGAGGATTGATTACCTCGCTGCAGGAAGCTCGTATATGAAATTTAGGCTCAATCCGGCTTCCGGACCTTCTAAAGCCCTAATCCCTACGATTGGAGAATCAATAATTTATTGGCCGAAAACTCAGTTATAAGCCAAGAAAACGATGACTAAGCTACACAGAAGGATTACCTAATGAAAGATCAAATTTTGGATCACTAGAACCAGAGGATCAAGCTCGTCGATTTCCTCCGTACGTCCCTGTTCCTGCTCTCTGTTCTTCGGTTTATGGAAATGAGATAATGGGACCGAAGGAAAAAGAAAGACTCGTATATATAAATGAAATGGTTGGCGGTGCAATCCTATACTGCTTCAATATATTAAATTTTGCTTGCTTTGCTTACTTTTTCTTTCCATCAGACACGTAATTAGTGTGTAGAGATATATATATAAATATATATATAATATAATTAATACGTATACTTATCCGATCGATCGAGAATCCGATTTTCGTCGAAATAGTGTCGAAATGCTCAATTTTAAATCGCGAATTTTCTAGCGATCGAAATATGGGTTTTGCCGAAACGGGATGTTACAAATGAGCTGTCTTCAAATCTGGCGTTGCCATGCTATCACCGTTAGTGCTTTGTCAGCACCATTAAGACGTCATCCGTAAAGTTGGAACGGAAGTGATGTATGGTGATGTTTTATATCAACTTCAGTGGTTTAGTTGAATTAATAGATATTCTGGTGGTATGAGTTAATAGAACTAGTACAGTGACCAATGGTCATTTTCACTCGAAATGATTTTGAGGTTAAATTTTTAGAAGCAGCGACAGAGAAGAGAGATGGGAACGGGGATTGGGAGATGGCAGTGATGGTGAATTTCAATTTTTTCTTTTTTGTCCGGTTTGGTTAAGTTTACTTAATTTATTATCAATTTTGATGACGTGGAGTACTGACTGGATCAAGTTAACATAATTTTGGGCGGAGAAGGATTAAATGACTGTTTTGTTATATGCCTAAGCGTGTAGTACCGAATCGTGCAAAAATAAAGCTTTGTGACCATTTTGTACAAAGTGGAAATGTTTGTGACCATTTATGATAATTACCCCTCAATTTTACTCATGACTGTACACCAGATCAAAAGTTTATATAGACACACTTCACAATAATACTGTTTTGAACTACATCTATGAGGGACACTCATCAGCATGGTAAAGGAAACCGTACCGGACATCATACCGGATTCCTTTCTGGTAGGGTATTTTGTGGTACGACCGTGGTTCAACCGTTTCATACTGGTAAATACCGTTTTTGTAATAATAAAATATTTTTGCTATCAAAAAACCGTGCCGCCAAAATCAGAGTATCGTCTCGGAGTAATACCAGATGTATCGGAATATACCGGACAATATATACAACTAATTAGCAAATTAATAGAAAATTTTAAAAATAATATATTTTTTTTGAACTTCCCCATCACTTATCATCTTCCTTGGTTACTCCTCTTTTTTTTTTTTTTTTAATAAGGAGATCATTGAATAAAGACTCCACAATGGTGGACAGATACATGGGCCAAGCCCAAGGAAGGAACAAACAACATAAGGACAAGAGCCCAACAGACAAACCACTCCAAGTAAAGCAAAGCCCAACCAGACTATGGTCTGAACAAGAAGCCCTAATCCCAAAATCAATCTTCCATTCCATGAGCAGCCGTCATTGTCATCCATGCCGCGATCAATCTTCCTTGGTTACTCCTCCGCGTGCAGCTTTTCCCCATCTTTTCTCATCTTCCATTCTTCCTCCTCTTTCTCTCTCTCTCTCTCTGGTCGATGTACAACCAGATGAAGAAATGACCATTCTTTGTGGTTGGTTCTCTATCTCCCTGCTCTCCACCGCTGCCAATCCCAATTTCGAGAGGGTTAAATGGGCCGAGTTTGATTCGGATTCGCTCAAAGATGAATGCTAGTATCTTCTTCTTCTTCCATGCAAATCTCCCTTCAAATGTTAGACATCCAATTGGTCCAAAATACAACCCATTCTCAATCCTCTTGCCCTGTACCATACAAATTAGGCCATTCCTTTTCTGTAAGCAACCAAACAGAGAGCCTAAACTAGACAAGGAAATTCGAGATCCGGGGATGACGATGAGTGGTTACTTACAAGCACAGCATCATCAAATCTATGAACTGCAGTAATCGGGAAATACCTTCCACCCTTCAATTTCTTTTGCAATTTTACCATTTTTCTTAACATTGCCTTACTGGTTATGATCAAAATTCTGAAAGGGAATTTAGGGAGGGGGGGGGGGAATTGGGAACCTGAGCGGTGAAGACAAGCATCCCAGTCCGATCAGGCGACTGAGTGCCGCCGGTCTGATTTAAACCGGGCGGTATACCGGTTTATGCCGGTTAAGCCAATTAAACCGACTGTCGCGGTAGAAAGAAGGTTGGTAGAGTATCGTTTCGCTGCTGGTCGGATTTCCGGTTTTACCGGTTGAACCGGCCAGTACGATCCGGTTTCCTTTACCATGCTCATCAGGCATATATACACAAACTTCTTGCTGACATGGCTGCCAATAATGGGGTATAGCTTCCTTCACAGGGCAAGAGTTACCTGCCAAAACGGTGACAAGTCCCCTCTCCTAAAGAGTTAAGAAGCTTTCATACAGTGCAGTTATCAATGATGCTCAGGATACCTACAGGGAAACAAATTATTATACGTTAACAACAATGTTATTCTCTGTAATTTGCTTTGCTAAACAATTTTTTTTCCCCATAAATGACTGAAGTAATAATACTCACCCGCTAAAATGACGAATCAAACAGCGTAGAGCCTTACAACCTGATCGATCTTGGTGCGGCACATAGGGCAGCCCCATTTCTTATTCTTGACCTCCTTCAAACAAGACATACATCCAGCCATGTGGCCACATGGGGCACAAGCTCCTTCAACAGGAGGGTCCAAACATATCACACACACAGAAGATCCCCCGTCCTTCTTTTCGCAAGCTTTGACAGGCGATTCCACGGTAGGTGGTTCGGAAGACATATCAACAACATCGACATCGATCCTTAGATAATGAATTGGGCCTTCTTCCATAACTGCATTGACAAGCGGTGGAGCTGAAGGTGAGGCCGAGCTAGATGGTTGAGGAGCCACTGTTGAGACGCCATAGGATGTTGCTAGCCTTGTGGAGTTCAGACTGCTGCTTGGAATTGCTGCTATGGCCAGATTCATGTAGTTGCAGCCACTTGCTGGAACTCGCTTCAGAAGGTGGACCTTGACTACTGTTGCCCTTCACAAAGTTATTTGCACTAGTGGATGCGGCGACACTTGATTCGACGCTAACTTTGAGATTTCCATAAGATGGGTTGCATGTGCCAAAGGTTCAGTTATGAGGTGTTTTGTTCTTGATATCTAACTGAAAGCATTGGGTACAATAAATAACAAATAATATTTCGCCATTGAGATGGGTAATAAACATGCTTAACCTTGGAATTTCAATTAGGAGAAAGAAAAAAAAAAAAGACAACAAACGTACAATAAGGTCTGTATACACATGCCATATGTGAAACATCTCATGCACTTTAGATGTAGCTTTTATCATTATCTGAACACAAATAGGATTTTCATAAGTTTATCACCAAATAACAACAAAAGCATGCAAATGACTATAGAACATGCTTATTACCTGAGGAATTCCTTTGCATGCATCACAAAACCACTGCAGCTGTTGCCCGTCGCCTTCATTTCCAGCAACAAGTTTTGACTGTGTTTCTGCATGCACATAAAATGCGGCTTGCCTTTGGTGAATTCAAGACTTGTAGCCAAATTTTAATATTTAAATAATTCTACAATAGCTAAATACGAATAAATATTCCTAGGTATTTGAAAAGGCTACACGTGGAGGATGAGCAGAGGTGATGTTATAGTCCCAGTCTCCCAGAGTTAAATCACGTAATCACTAGCTTCTCATATCATGACGCGGAGAATAATGGTATCTAGCCATAAGAAATTCAGCGACCATTGTACTGACGCCTAACTGTAAGAGCCTTCTGCCTCATTCGTCTCTGCCTCCGACCCCTTGGCACTATGAACGAACATAAAATTTGAGGTAAATACAGAACACTATGGAAGGATCGCAATGTGAAAGATGAAATCCAATGGCAAGGTAACGAAGAAAAATTCCTTTAAGTTTGACAATTTCCAGAAAGAAGTAAAACATAATTCAGGATAGAGAAATTCCTATTATAATGGTCAACAATTGCTACTGAAGGATCAACCTGGTGCAACTTAGGTTCCTTCAGATTAGCTTTCCACAAGGAGATCACCATGCGAGGATGGGCAACCTGGACTTTCACCAAAATTTATTAACTGGGAAAGCTAGATTAATGTTCAATAAAACAAATAATTACATCTAGATTCATAATGTCCTCTCTTCATCTACGAAGCTGATCACAGAAAATGAGGACATAAAAGCATATACTAGCACACACAACCACTTCGCCTTAAGAGCAACCTCTTGAACAAACGGAGAGTGATTTCCAATGTCCCTACTATAGTTACTAGATCACATTATATCATATCATATCACCTACAAGAAATACTGCTAACGTACGTAAGAGATTGAAAATATTAATTTCAATCGCAGGGAAGAGTACTGAAGTCTTAGGGCATTCCTTTATTCATCATAAGTTATGTGTGCACACATTACCTGTGAACTAGAGTATATGGCAAGCTCCAACTTAAAAGGCTTTCTAGCATTACGGGAGCCTGTTGGTAAAATAATAATACAATCGAAGTCGCACAGCCCAAGCAATTCGAACCAAAAGATAGAACCATAATATGATGGAAATCAATAGGACAAAATTCACTCGTGAAAAGGGGCAATCGATAAGAATCGATCGGGCAATCTCAACTCGGAATTAAGGGCAATTGATATAGGTAGCTCGCCACAACTAGGGTGTATACCTAGCTAATAAGAGTCGCTCTAACACTCCAGAATCCTCAATAGAGTATTTAGGGCAAAATCCACAAAGGGAACAAGCAAAAGCTTTCTGAAATTTGATAATAATAGTCTGTCTTAAAACCAACGAGTTCAGCCCCTTTAAATAGGCGCCAAACCACCCTAATTCGACCATAATAAGGACAACATCAAAGTAAATCGACTTAAACAAAAACAACCCGTTAAGCAGAAAACCCGTTAAGCAAAAACAACTCGTTAAGCCTTCTTCTCACATTTTGCCATCTTTTCAAGACTTCCTTCTTCCTCCACGACTTGCAACATCATAAAGGGTTTGTACTTGAATAACTCCACGTTCATGCTTGCAAAGTAACAACCCAAATACGTTGCAAACTTGTCTCTCATCACCTTTGCCTTAGAACGTGTGACTGGCCCTTTGATGCCCTCATCAGTACCTCTTCAAAAAGATTTGGCCTCAAATCCGAATTGCCATCCAAATAAGGTGCAAGGTTAGAAACATTAAATGTTGCACTCACTCCATACTCACCCAGCAAGTCGATCTTGTACGCATTGCGGGAGCCCATTGGTAAAATAATGATACAATCAAAGTCGCATAGCCCAAACAATTCGAACCAAAAGATAAAAACATGATAGGGTGGAAATCAATCGGACATAATTCACTCGTGAAAAGGGAAAATCGATAAGAATCAATCAGACAATCTCAACTCGGAATTAAGGGGAATTGATATAGGTAGCTCGCCACAACTAGGGTCTATACCTAGCTGATAAGAGTTGCTCTAACACTCCAGAATCCTCAATAGAGTATTGAGGTCAAAATCCACAAAGGGAACAAACAAAAGCTTTCTGAAATTTGATAATAAGAGTTTGTCTTCAAACCAACAAGTTCAGCCCCTTTAAATAAGCTCCAAACCGCCCTAATCCGACCATAACAAGGACAACATCAAAGTAAACCGACTAAAAAAACAACCCGTTAAGCAGAAAACCCGTTAAGCCTTCTTCTCACATTCTGCCATCTTTTCAAGACTTCCTTCTTCCTACACGACTTGCATCATCATAACGCGTTTGTACTTGAATAACTCCACGTTCATGCTTGCAAAGTAACAACCCAAATACGTTGCAAACTTGTCTCTCCTCACCTTTGCCTTAGAACGTGTGACTGGCCCTTTGATGCCCTCATCAGTCCCTCCTTCTACAAAAGGATTTGGCCTCAAATCCGAATTGCCATCCAAATAAGGTGCAAGGTCAGAAACATTAAAGGTTGACTCACTCCATAATCACCCGACAAGTCGATATTGAAGGCATTGCTTCCCACCTTCGAAACCACTTAAAATGGACCATCACATCGAGGCAACAACTTGGATTTTCTTTGTTGTGGAAATCTTTCCTTCCTCAAGTGCACCCACACCTAGTCTCCCACTTCAAAGTGCCTAGGCTTCCTATGCTGTTGACATTCATCATAATCTGCTTCGTTCTCCTTTCAATGTTCAACCTAGCCTTCTCATGGAGACTCTTCACAAATTCAGCCTTCTTCGCTCCATCGAGATTGACTAGCTTCTTTAAAGGTAATGGCGTCAAACCCAAAGGTGTGAGAGGATTGAAACCATACACGAGCTCAAAAAGAGAGAACTTTATCGTTGAATGCACCATTCTGTTGTAAGCAAACTCCATGTGTGGTAGACAGTCTTCTCAAACCTTGATGTTGCTCTTGATCACAGCTCGAAGCATCTGGGATAGAGTTCGATTGACCACCTTTGTTTTCCCATCGGTTTGAGGATGACATGTAGTAGAAAACAACAGCCTCATCCCTAATTTTCTCTACAACGGCTTCCAGAAGTAACTTAGAAACTTGGTGTCTCGATCAGACACGATATACGTGGCATCCCATGCAATCTCACCACTTCCCGAAAGAACAAATCCGCCACATTCACAGCATCGTCATTCTTGTGACATGGGATGAAATGTTCCATCTTCGAGAACCGATCCACTACTAAAAAAATGGAATCCCTGGCCTTCTTTGTTCTCGGCAAACCCAACACAAAATCCATAGATATACCAATCCATCACTACAACAAATTCGGCCTATTAGGGCAAAAAATTTATTTTGTCATTTTCTGTTTGTCACAAAAGTTACGGTGATATGACAAAAATAATATATGTCCTATTTGGTATGCCTAATGTGACAAAAAAATTGTTGTCATAATAAGTCGTCAGTCAAAGTGAGTAATGTGACAAATATTTCGTGTCACAATTAATTTTGTCAAAATAGGCGTCTCATATCCGGATGTAAGAGACTCATCAGTGACAAATTTCTTGTTGTCAGAATAGTTCGTCATTTAAAGAGAGTAATGTGACAAATATTTTTTGTCACAATTAAGTTTGTCAAAATAGGCATCCCATATCGGGATGTAAGAGACACAAAAGTGACAAATTATATCGTTAGAGTAGCTTTTGTCATATTATGCCTTCCCGAATTGCTTAAATGACAAAGTATTTTGTCATAATAGATAGCAATAATCCTATGATGAGCTGACAAAAGGGCATGTTCATCATAATTTAGTGGATTCTGCTTTGACAAAAGGCATGTTCGTCATAATATAGTGATTTTGTTTTTGACAAAAGGCATTTTCGTCAGATTTGCCTGTGTTATACTGAAATCAATCAGCCCGCCCGACACATTTTTTCCCCATCCAAATTTCAGTCCGCCCAATTTTTAACTATTCAATTTTCAATCCCTCCCAAATTTTAGACCCCAATTTTCATCCCGCCCAAAACTTGAAATGCCCTCTCCCCAACCAACTTTTCAGGGTGAATTTCAAGTTTGATCACTCATTAAATAATTTCCACCCCACAATAAAAAAAATATAAAAAGTAATTGAAAGACCCAAATAAAGAATCCAAAATCCCTCTCCGGGTTGGGTATGTTGCGCCATTTCATGCGGATCGAAATCGACAACGATCTGCTTACGGCAATGGTGGAGCTATGGCGTCCCGAAACCCATATGTTCCACCTTTCGGAGGGGGAAATGACGATCACCCTCAAAGACGTCGCGATCCTCACCGGGCTGCCGATTTCTGGAGAGGCCATCATTGGTTCCACTACCAAACCCGAAGGAGGTTGGGGCCCGCTCATTCGTGATCGTTTGGGCTTTGACATGCCGACTAACACACCAATTCAAGGACGGGGGCATGCCGATCACCCTCAACACGAAAAAGTTGGGAAAATCAACTACGAGCCGTTTGCGTACCTAAAACTAAAACAAACGTATCTTATTCGTTTGAGGTCGAAATAACAAGCCGTTTGCGGCTACGCGATCGTATCGACAAGGAGAACATTTTAGAGTGAATAAATATAACCCATGACGTCTATATAATTAAATAAGTAATTCAAACAAAGGGGTAATGAAAATTTAGGCAAGCTTACAATTTAGTACCTCATTACAAGTAAATGAAAATTAAGATAGATCACTTGTACATCATTGGTCCAGGGTTATATCCGCACCATGATGGAGTGATTGTCCTGGGAAATGCCTCTTGTCATGACCAGGTTGTCTGCACTTGAAGCATCGCTTCGGTCCCCGCCTCGTGCGTTCAACTTGATCCATCTCATTGTATATCCTTTCAACTCTAGGACGACCCTTGGTGCGTTTTAGGTGCAACGGTGGGATAATCAACTTTCCAACGTATATAGGCCAATACACTTCATCTGGCATGGGGCTCAAATTTGCATTATATGAGTTCTGTATCGCTTGTTCAGTGTAGTAAGGACTCACCAAGCTGTTTTTGTTCATGGTTATTGACTTAGCTACTGCCATTGCATGTGAACAGGGTATCCTTTCGTTCTGATACTTTTGACATGTACACTCCCCTAATTCGTAGTGCAATTTAACCATTTGACGATTGTGGCCACGTATCCCTCCACCCCATAGACCTGTTTCCACAGCGAATATTCCTTCACTGCGGTCGAAAAGAACAACTTTATGCTTACTTGATTTTTCATTGTTCTCCTGCATTTGAACGAATACGTCATGTGCTATCGCATGACCAAATAGCTCCCTCCCTATAGCTTGCTGAAGCCGAGCAACTCGCCACTCGTTGACCTTTCAGTATGACATCTCCACTATGACAGAAATAGGCATCGCTCGAAGACCCTTGTACACATTATTTATCTTTTCTCCATGGTTGGTAGTTGCAATGCCCCATCTGGCCCCGTTGTCCATATGGAACGTCCACATGGGCAACTCTTGACCTTCAGCCCATACTGCTCCAGCTCAGTGGGTCTGACAGATCGTCTTCATCTTATGCTCGTACTTTTTTGGTTGATGTGCAACCGCTGAAAGGTGAACAAAATCAAACTGGTCAATACATGATAAATAACATCAGCTTAATAAATACATAGTTAAATCGGATAAGAAGACATTAGTACCTGCATGCCACAGTTGATTTTTTATGTCTTTCTTCTTCCCAAATTTGTGCTGGAAATTGGCGAGCCAGTGTCGAATACACCAGCACCATGTCCATCCCCACTCGTCGGGAAAACCACCCACGGCATTCCTAATCCCCGCATGTCGATCGGATATAATCGTAATACCTTCCCGCTGTGTCATGTGTTCGTGTAGTTGGTCAAAGAACCATGCCCAACTTAAGTTGTTCTCCCCTTCCACTAATGCAAATGCAAGCGGGAAAATCCGCTTGTTTTCATCAACGCCAGTGGCAATTAGAAGACATCCTCTGTACTTCCCAGTAAGGAAAGTTCCGTCAACCTAATTAAAATTTAGGATCTAATTAGTATGAAATATACTTAACAGGAAAGAATACAGCATTTAAAACAGTAACCAGTTAGTAAAATACCTGAATAACCGGTATGCAGAACCCAAACCCATCAATGCATGGTTTAAAAGCCCAAAAAAGATGGTGAAACATCAACTTCTCCTGTACTCGAACTTGATCCTCAGTGTATACATTGTTGTATACTGGGACGAAAACAGTCCCAGGATTGGACTCCTCCATTGCTCCCATAAGTCTAGGGAGTAAAGCATACGAATCCTCCCAATCACCATACACCTCAGCCATGGCTTTCTGCTTTCCATGCCATACTTTTTTGTACCTTATCGTGTAAGAATGTCGATCCTTCACCTCTGCCATGATAGCTTTGACCTTGATATCTGGTTGTGCTTCGATAAGGTGCTTAATAGTTCTCCCAACTTTCTTTGCTTTTAGTTGCCTATGATCTTGGGAAAGTATGAACGAGGAGCAAGTGTGGTTCGTCTCAGCTTTGCGAATCACCCAGGCACCCTTTCTCTTCATATTTGCAGCCCGCAGTTGCCACGTACAACCCTCTGCATCATGCTTGCATATGACATGTAGTTGTTTACTGTCAGAATATTTTGCCTTCCACTCGAAATTGCGCCTCAAGGCCTCTTCGGTAAAGCATCCTGCACAGCGTCCTTCGAAGTGAACGCCATACCCACCTTATACACTGGCATAGGGACAAAGTCGGGGGCATCATTCTGACTATGTAAAAATTGAGTTGGAACCTGTGTGTAGTATGGCGTGGGTGCCTCACGAAATGCAGCCTCGTCGTCGTTATCATCAGTATCTTACTCCTCCTCCTCGCTCACTGATCTCAAATCTTCCTCAGTATCCCCGTCGCTCGAGTCGAATGGATAGCTCGGGCCAGAAGGATCAACATGACCACCATCACCAACATCGTCTTCTCGCTCATGTGAAGTACGCCCTGATCGAATGGTATTCTCGATTTCAGCCCACTCTGGGCCCCAAGCAGGCCATTGAACGCCATTGGCCTCAACAAATGGGGCAGGTTGATCACGTTGCGAGTATTCTTCCGATGGCACCCATCTTACACTACTACCTCCACCGTAGTTGCTTGAACTACCACCCTCTCCGTAACCTCCTGTATAACCACCGCATTCGTAGTTGCTCGAACTACCACCCCATCCGTACCCTCCTGCAAAACCATCATCATAAGAATACTTGTGAGAATGAGTTTCACCGACCGCCTCGGTCTCAACATACACCTCTGCAAGCCGCATCCCGTTATCGCTTAGGAACTGTAACATCATCGTAACCGCGTCATCATCATTTATGACAACTTCTTGGTACACGACCCCGCCAGCACTCATGTCTGGATACCGGTAACTAATTTTGCCAAGTCTCGTATGTCCGCTCGTACAAACCCTGTCTGCACAAATATCACAGAGTTCTTGAAAATTGAATCGCGACTCAATTTTCAGCATAGTGGATTCGCCGTCCTCATAATCAATCCCTATGTCAGAGTTTGTCACCCTTCCATTCCACCGAATAATAAGCCAAAACTTCTTGAATTTACCCATATCTACAGTTTACAATAAATACCTATTAGCTTAAAGACAGTATAATTAACCAAAACCATATTGTACGACTAATATTACTCCATCTCATAACTAACGTAACATAAATTCAACTAACTAACAACAGCATAAATTCCCTAACTAACAAAACATATTTGCTACGATAAGTAATTCATAACATAACAATATAACTACTAAAAACATCAATAGGCTATAATACAAAAATTATATCATACTATAACTACTAAAAACATCATTAAGCTATAATATGAAAATTAAATGATACTATAACTACTAAAAACATCATTAGGATATAATACGAAAATTAAATCATACCGAAAATTCATGTTCTATGTATGTTGCTCGGTTTTGGTTGCTGAAATTTGAAGAGGGGGGAGTGGTTATGTTTTTACAACTGCTGGTTGTGTGGTATTTATAGAAAATTCGGCTACTATTCACCGCCTTTGTCAAACACGGTGAACACCATCACCGCGTTTGTTTAAAACGGTGAACATTAGGTAGCTGTGACCTAATTTTGACCTACCAGGAGTGGGAAACGTGTTAATTAATCACCATTTTAATCTAGAACGGTGAAAGTATTCACCGTGTTGCCCTAAAACGGTGACGTATTCACCGTTTTCGACTAAAATGGTGATATCTTCACCGTTCCGATTAAAAGCGGTTAATATATCACCATTTTAGAGGAAGACGTACGGTGAATACGTCACCGTTTTTTTTTAAAACGGTGAAATGTTCACCGTGTTCGTCAAACGTGGTGATAATCTTCATTGCGTTTGTCAAAAATGGTGAATGCCAAACATGTGTATTTTGGGGGAAAAATTTATAACTTATGTATTTTGGAATTTTTTTTTTTAAGAACATGTGTACAATGGGATTTTTTCCTAAAATATTCACATGACAAAAAATCAAATTGAAATGTATTAGATCTGGGTTAATGTCACATTTGGTCACTAGGATTACTAAATTGTGTCATGTTTAGTCACTAGAAAAAAAAATATTAGATTTGGTCACTCGATTTACTAAAACAGGTCATCTTTAGTCACTCTCCGTTAGTCTCCGTCCAACTGAGGAATTCTTCAATGGTCCCGGCTCACCACATCAGCCAGCCCATGTGGTGCTCCCCCACCATTAAAAAAACGACACCTGTAAAACTAACTACAAATGGTGCACAATTAAAATAGGTAGTTAATTCTTTTTAGGGAAAAAAGGTAAACCCCCTCTTTCCTCGTAAATGCTTTCTCCATGTTCCCACTAAGTCTCTGCTACCTAATTAGAGAGAGAAAAAACTAATTACTCACAGTACCGCAAAGGGGCAAACCATCGGCCGCCTCAGAGGAATATAATCGCAGCGTGATATTCTTCTTCAAATCATCCCAACAGGTAAACTTCTTCCATCCTCAATTTTGATGGTGATAAATATGCATAAACCATGCAGGTTGCAGCAAGGATAGTATTCAATATGATGAATGCTTTTAACCCTAACTCTAATTATGCATGATTCATCTTTCCGTAATAATGCTAGGAAACTAGGCATCACATAAAATATTATAATTATTCATGATTCCTCTTCATGATAGTAATGCATATTATATGGGAGCTAGAATTATTATATGGATTTAGTTCAAAACAGGGGCACCCTGCACTCTCTAGCGCCCCTGTTTACTCTGTTCGTTTGGCTCTTTTCTTCTTTTTCTTTACTTAACTTTTGATTTGATAAAATGAGATTACCATTAGCAAAAATAGTTATGTATAGATTGTATTTAATCAGGATGCATATTGAAGAAGAGGTAAACGTCGATGGTGTTGAACGAAGTGGACATTTACATGATAAAAATGACGAGGTTCAGCAATTTGTTACTCGGGTTGCTAGCAGTGATGATAATTTGTATGGAAAGGTGGTTTCTAATGAAGATGAAGCTTAT